TTTAGAATAGATTTAATGGTTTGGATCGTTATATGTGTTTATGCTATAATTTGGCTAAATTGGTTAATCGAATTAAATTGATTACTTGAATTGTATTGTTGAGGATTATGGATTGACTGAACAGGTTTGACTTTGACTTGGGTTAGGTCCTGTTTGACTTGGACTTTGACTGGATATTCTGTTGACGTAGGTTTGACCGGATGGTTAAATCCAAGACTTTAATGAATTAGTTAAGTTAATTAATTAATTCTAATCGGTAATTAAGGTCAATTGGTTTATTTTGTCGAACATAGAAACTGGCCATTGCTCGGGCGGCTGCAGGGCCTGGTCAGTGAGGTTAAGAGGTGCGCACGAGGGTCTGTGATCTTGGGTTTGAGGCTATCGCCCGAGGGATCCTACCTCCACCGAATTGAGGCTATCTTCGGTATTACAGATTGAGGCTATCTCCGTCATAGGCGTTAAATGTTAAGTGGTTTGACTTTGGTGAAAGTCTAAATTGGTTTGACCGGTGGTCAAAGAGTTAATGAGAAACCCGTAACACCTAAATCGTTTTGAAAAGAAAGAAAATAAGTTGACTGTTGGTCAACCGTCTAAAGAACCGAATTTAAAGTTGAATTGATTTTTATCAAAAGGATAATCATATGCACGATCTAATCATTGAATTATTATGTTTATTCTTGTGCTACAATGGAGTGCCACTCAGCGTCATTGCTGAGCGGATAGCGTTGTTTTCCTTTTTGCTATCCGTAGGTGATCAGACAGATGAACCTAGAGCCGATCCCAGAGGGCATTGAGGAGGAGATGTACGATGGCATGACTGTCTCTTTAATCTGTTGATTATGCTTTATTTAATTAACTTTAATGCTTATTACGTTTTCGGGCAACATCCCAAGTTGTTTGGCTTTAAAAAGGCTTCCGCATTATTTTAAATTACTCCGATGAATTTTTATATGTATTGATAGAACGTTTGTTTAAAATTGTTTTGAAAATGTTGTATATTCGGATACCAATCCAATGGCACACCGGTCCGCTGTCTCACGGGTTTGGGTTATGCAGGCTGGGGTGTTACAGATTTCCCTGAGGCAGATGGGACGAGATGGTCGGGTGGATGTGTGTTTTGGATTTGGATTACTGTTTGAAAAGACATAAAATTAATTATGTTTGTATTATGTTTTATTAAGCTTCCGCAACATTAAATTACTCCGTTATTATTTTGAATGACTTATTATGAAATAATATTTTAAATGTTTGAAATATTTTTGAATGTTTACGAATACCACGTTTATACTTTAGTCCGAAAGGGGTTGCAGACCTGGACGGATTAGGGTGTTACAATTTGGTATCGGAGCAAATGGTTTTAAACCCGATCTTCGGATCAAAACTTGGGTTTAAAAAATATTTTATATATTATATATATTTCGGTTGTATTAATAATATAAAAAAAATTTGTCAATCACATCCACGAGTCTCGCATCCCTCTGCTCTAGGAAGGTAATAAAACTTGAGTATTGAATTTGATTGTATTAAATTTCATAGATGTCAACTGTTAATTCTGAGATGATATCAAGTGTTGACTCGAGTCGAACTTTTGTATTCGGCAAGAGACGAAAGAATAAACGGAAAATATATGACTCCCTGATGCGTTATCAACGTGCGCATCGCATCGCGAGAATAATGAAATGAAGAATTTATCTTCGCCGCAAAGCCGCGTGGGAACGAGACGACCCTGAAGAAACATTCAGTGTAGACTCTGCCAACAGCATCTGCGGATCCAGTGTGGAAGATCCTTCCGTAAATTCGAGAAAATCCAATTATTCAAACGCAAACGCTTAGAATAAATCTTGTTGTTCGAATCCCTTGATTGTATCAATTATTGTAATCCTTTGCAATTTCTGTCATGAACTCAACTACCCAAATAAAGAATCCTAATAAAGGAATTTCTGTTAATTGTAGAATGAGTCAAGAAACTACACACGGACAAGGCAATAATGAACACGTAAGTGTTCACACTAAAGCGTCTAGCTTCACCCCTCCTATCCAAAACGAGCCTATTAATCAATAGAATGTTCATCAGAACGAGGGGAACAATGCTAATGCCGCTGGTCAACAAGACTACGCTATTCCTGTCTTTCTGGATAATTTCTTGCAACAAATAGCCAATGCTTCTGTGTTTCAACCACCGCCTCCACCACCTCAACGAGTGATTACTTTCAAAACTCTGAAAGACAACCGAGCGGAAGAATTTCTGGGCGACTGAATCGCCGAACCTCAAATTGCTTGGAATTGGATTGAACAGACTGCCCGAGTGTTGAATGATCTGAACGTACCGCTTAACGACCACCCGAGACTCGCATCACAATTACTTCATGGAGAAGCCTACGAATGGTGGAAACGCACCGATGAGAGTAACGAAACCCCGAAGCCATGGAAGTGGGAGTTCTTCGACTGGGCTTTCAGGAAATAGTATATCCCAACACGTTTCCGTGAAGTGAAACGTACCGAATTTGTTGAGTTGCAACAAGGGGAGATGACGCTTCCCGAATATCGCCAAAAGTTTTCCAGTCTTGCCAAATTTGCACCACCGTTGGTAAGCACCACAACTGACCGTATTGAGGAGTTCAGGTCAAAACTCCGACCTAATCTCAGGGCTCAAGTATCTGTCATACCAACGGTAGACTTCACGGAAGCCTATGATCTGATTGCTAAAGCAGACAAAGATCTGAATGCTTGTAAGGAGTACTTGAAGAAAGAAGGTGCTAACACAAGTGAACGTCGACCTACAAATTCTGTCCCGAGTGGGAAAAGACCATTTGAAGGACCCAGCAGCTCACACTTCTCCAAGAAGGGGAAATCTGTACAAACCCAATCAGAGGCATCTGGCAACAGGTCAAAGGGATGGAAAAACCCAGCGTGTAATATGTGTGGGAGACACCATCCTGGGGAATTTTGGCTTGCTCAAGGACTATGTCTCACTTGTGGAAAGCCGGGGCATTTCCGAAAGAATTGTCCCACAAATCCTGGAGAGCCATTTCCACCTGCTCCTGTCACCAGTCAGGCAGCATCGGCACATCCCGCTCCAAGTCAACGCTCTACATCAGGATCCAATCCTGCTAAAAATCAAAATCAACAACAAGGACGAGCGCCTGCCCGCACCTATGCAATGAAAGGATGTACTGAAGAGAACCCTGACGTCATCCAGGGTATGTTCTCATTATTCGATACAACCATGCATGTGTTGATAGATCCTGGATCGACATTATCTTACATCTGTGTACCTATGCCTGACAAAGCTGACATATTGAAAGAAAACTTAGAACACCCTATACTAGTATCTAACCCACTAGGACATAGTATGAGGTTACATCATGTATACCAAGATTGTCCGCTGATTGTCGAAGGACAACAACTCCTTGCAAATTTTGTTGAATTACCGTACAAGGAATTCGATGTCATCCTTAGTATGGATTGGCTTACTGAACATCAAGTTGTTATCGATTGCTGACAACGGGTGTTACAACTGAAAAACAATGATGGAAAGACCATTGAAGTGAAAGAAAAGCAGACACCAAAACCTACTGAATTCATCTCGTATATACATGCTAGGCGCCTCATCCGCAAGAAATGTGAAGCCGATTTATGTAATGTACGAGACACATCAAAAGAAACTCCTGGATTGAAGGACATACCAACAGTGTGTAACTTTCCTGATGTATTTCCTGACGAACTTCCTAGTATACCATCTTCCAGAGAAGTAGAATTTTCCATCGATCTTGTTCCTGGAACGGGACCGATATCAGCAACTCCCTATTGTATGGCTCCTTCTGAAATGAAAGAATTGAAGGCTCAATTACAAGAATTACTTGATAAAGGATTCATTCGACTGAGTGTTTCCCCATGGGGAGCACCCATTCTGTTTGTAAAGAAGAAAGACAGCTCGAAGAGACTCTGCATCGATTACCGTCAATTAAATAAAGTCACAATCAAAAATCGTTATCCTTTACCCCGTATCGATGACTTATTTGATCAGCTTAGAGGATCTACTGTATTCTCTAAGATTGACTTACGGTCAGGATACCATCAAATTCCTGTCAAGAAAGAGGACATCCCAAAGACCGCATTCCGTACTCGTTATGGTCATTATGAGTTTACAGTGATGCCCTTTGGTTTGACCAATGCTCC